TATATAATATTAGGTGCTGTTAGTTAACTATAATTACATTACTTTATTGTCATTGATACGTACTTTAACTCCACGAACCACAAAAAACATGCATAAAAATTCTATGATTTTATGTGGAGGCCCTTGGACAAATGCCCACAATGCCCACCCCTGAATCCGGCCCTGATAAACATATTTCTTAAAACTTTTGTCATCTCTCGTTTAGTGTTGACCTAATTGCGATTTAAAAAGTAATGGAAAAATACTACAACCATATAATGTAAATAATATTTTATAGTTATATTTGCCTAAAAAGATTTTCAGCAATTGCATATTAGCAATAGAACAAAAACTTACATTATTGGGTAAATAAATAAAAAAATAAAAACAGAGTTAAAAAAAAGAAACATTTAATAAAGAAGTTTAAATTTATTTTAAAAGTAAGATTCCCTAATGGTCATCTAAGAAAATAAATATTACGAAAATAAAGAAGAGTGTTGTCGTTCATTCAATTATAAAATGTAGGGGTCCTTTTTTAAACTTAAAAAATTGTGTTGTTTTTTAAATTTCTATCTAATTTGTTAATAGTTTATAAAAAATATATTTTAAAAGCATTATTATATATTAAGCATTATACATATTTTGGGGCATACACTATAAGATCTCTTATGACATTGTAGTTTAAATTGGATTGTAAGTAAAGAAGAGGACCTCCTTTTTAGCTTCAGAGGAGCAAAATTTGATGTTATAATTATTTATACTAATGTTGTTTATATTGGGATCTTTAATGTATAATTTAATCCGAAATTCCAAGTACTGTTGAAAAAATGGTAAGTGAACTTATGAGACTGCGAAGTTCATCAATATGAAAGTGTAAAGAACCAATATTTCGATGAAGATACATCGATTTGTACTAAATCGCTACCAACTTTTTTACACTTTTTTTTTCGCCAAAAATTACAAAAGACTATTATTTTTTATTTTTTTTTTTTTATATAAGTTTTTGTGTTTGCATTTTCGTTTTGTAGTTTTCGCTTTCATTTTGTAGTTTTTGTGTTTTGCCATTTTCGTTTGCGTAAAGTTTATTATTATTTGCTAATTATTTTTATTGTTGTTCGCTGTTTTTCTGTTTTACTAATTTTTCTACACTTTTCTTTTTTCGCCGGTAATAACTAAGGATTTTTATTACTTTTAATTTAACTTTGTAGAAGTTTTTGTTTTTGCATTTTCATTTTGTAGTTTTGGTGTTTTGCCTTTTCTTACGCGTAAAGTTTGTTTTTATATATTTTTGTTTGCTGTTGTTATTAATTGAGTGCTTTCATATTTTTTGTCATATTATTTAATTTATTATAGCTTTTTTGGTATTATTATTTTTAAATTAATTTAATTTACCATGTTTTTATTTATTATTATTGTTCATTTTTTTTTGTTAGTTTATTTTATTTAAATGTCACTCCATTGACTAATTTTTAACTATATGAGTGACACCTAACCTAATTTTGTAAAATTATAAACTTGTAGTTTTTCAATTTTTGGTTGAATAAATGGATAAATCGATATATATATATATATATATATATATATATATATATATATATATATATATATATATATATATATATATATATATATATGTATATATATATATATATATATATATATATATATATATATATATATATATATATATATATATATATATATATATATATATATATATATATATATATTAATAACAAACATTATTATATACTTCGTTAAACATTTGCCGATATAAAAACATATTGTAGTTTTCAAAATCTTAACAAAGTCATAAGTAACAAAGTCATAAGTTAAGATAATTAAAATAGCGCAATGCTTAAAAAATTTTTTTACGTTTACTTACTTTTTAAAACCTCTACAATAAATTTTATCTTATTTAATTATAGCAAATTTACCTTCGAATATTGATTATCGATATTGAATCTCAAACATGTCAAATTTAAAAAAAAAAGAAAATATCTGGAAACGAATATAAAAAACTAAAAGACGCCGAATGTTGGGAAAAATTTCGAAAAAAATGGTAGTGTTCAAATGTATTTAAAATCTATAGAAACACCAAAAGATTTCGTCGTACGTGATGCTGATGATAGTGACTCACGAGTCGTCGCTGGTTGATTTATTCCCCACGAGTTAACGCTATGTTTTGTTTTGCCTGCTGCTTTTTCAGCAAAAAGGGAGTATGCTGTTTTTGGAACGATTGTCGAAAAGGTTATTTAAATTTTGCAAAAGGTTTTTCCAAAATTGAGAAGCACAAATAATCAAAAAGCCATGAAGAATCTATGAGACAGTTATTTTTAAGAAAGTTTCCCATATCTATTGACAAAACAGTTTTGGCAGTGCTTGTGGCATCAAGGAGAAGACAGATAGAAAAAAACAGGAGGATTTTAAATACTATCGTAAATGGAGTATTGTTTTTAGGCTAAGAAGGATCCGCCCTTCGTACACAAGAAGTTTGGTGGTAGAGGTTCCTGTAATGAAGGTAATTTTCTTGAATTCATAAAGCTTCTTGCTAAATATGGCAATGTATTAAAACAGCATGTCAATCAAAGTTACCACAATGTCTCCTATCTCAGTCAAGACATCGAGAATGACCTTATGCAGTCATTGGCATCTGAAATTAAAGCAAAAATATGTTTAGAAGTGAAGAATGCAAAGTATTTTGCAGTAATTACAGATTCCACCATAGATATAAGACGTTTGACAAAAATCAATATACACTTAAAGTATTTATACATGGAGTATTTTAAAGTAAAATTATAAAATACATGGAGTATATTAAAGTAAAATTATTTAAAGTATTTATTGATTTTTCAAAGGAGTTGGATACAGTGGATTACGAAATCTTTTTATACAAACTTAGTAATTATGGAATAAAAAATAAAAATATAAAATGGTTTAGTTGCAATCTAAACAATCAAAAACAAGCTTTATATTACAATAAAACTTACACTTTCCTTGAAACCATTACTTGTGGCGTTCCGCATGGATCTATTCTAGGTCCTTTTCTTTTTCTTGTCTATATTAATGACATATTTTTATCTTCTCTTATATTAAATTTTACTCTTTCTGCTAATGACATCCATGCTTTCTATACCCGCTCAAATATTAAAACTGCTTTTAACACAGTAAATCAGGAACTTGAAGAGCTAAGCGATTGGTTGAAGGTCAACAAACTTTCCTAGAACATTGAAAAAAGCAATTGCTTTCTTTTCACAAAACCATCAAAGTCAGACACGTTACCATTAAAACTTCCAGATATTTTAGTTGACAAAACAAAATTAAAAAGAGCATTTTCTGTGAAGTTTGTAGGAGTCATTCTAGATGAACATATTAGCTGGAAAGAGCATATCAAGTTGTAAGAAAATAAAATATCTTAAAGCATTGGGATTATGCATAAAACTAAGTATGTTTTAAATAAAGTATAAATAAAGGATATGCTTTGCATTTGTTCATAGCTACATTAGCTACTGCAATGTTGCCAGGGCAAGTACTTACCAATCAAAACTAGCCTTAGCCTATAAAAAACAAATGCAAGCATGCCGCATATTTACAAATGGATATGCTAGTGCTAAACAAATAATGAAAGAACTGAGAGTTCTTAATGTTTATGAACAAAACATCTATAGCATCCTTCAGTTTATATTTAAATTAAAAAATAATTTTTCTAACTTATTAATATATATAAATACGAAACAAAATGTTCTAAGCGGAACTACTATACTTCAAAAATGTCTTTGAGACAATCCAAATTCTCAATATCTAGAAGAGGACCACAATTGTGGAACTCATTTCTCACAACTTAGATTAAAACGATAAACTCTTTTCAACATTTTAAATGCGTTGTTAAACAACATGTTTTAATCTCTAGTAACTGTTAACAGTTACTTGATCTTGAAATTTCTGAAACAATCTCTTATTTAAAAAAAAAAAAATTTTTCTCGAAATTTTTTTTTATTTACACAATAGCTGGAAATGCTTATTGTTATATTTATAAAAATGCATTTAATTGTATTTATAATTTGTGTTTATCTTATATTAATTGATATTTATTGTAAAATATAATTGAAATTAACGGGGCAAGATGATAAAACCATCGTCTTCTACTTGCTCCAGTCAATTTGTTACGTTGACAATTTTGTAATAAAAATTTTATATTAATGAAAGAAATTATATATCTAAAAATATATTAAATACATATATATATACATATTTATATACAAATACATGTATATACATATTTATACACACTCCCACAAACTTATGTATGTATGTTAAGCCGAATTTAGCAAAATACATATATATAAGATAGGAAATGATATATATAGTTATATAGCATAGCTTGAATGTTGTCAATCCTAACATGATTTTAACGTTTTCAGTTTTAATTTCAATTGTTGTTTTTTTTCCAAAATATTTTATTCATTTGTCATAGGTAGAAAATGTTTGTTTACCCGCATCACCCACATGAGTTTTCAACTCAAAAGTAGAAAACTTTGAAATAAAAATACGTTATTAAGGTCACGCTATATCAAGCTATATCAAAAAAAAAAAAAAAAAAAAAAAAAACTGTCGTAAAATACCAAACTATCCATGGCATACCATTTATAAACACTACTTGTGTTATTAATTTGAAGATTTTGAAATAATTAAATTATTTGTTCAAATCATAGACCTATTAAAACAGGAGGGTGGGAGCTAGGTGGGACAAATTAAAAAATTTTCTTTCTAATTTACAAAACTCTTATATATACAAGTATTTGTTTATCCAATAACAAAACAAATATAGTTAGAAATCTGCATAGTTTAACATTAAAAATTTAGATAATTTTCCCTAATACTTTATACTATTAACTCTATACTTTATAATAATATACTTTCATATTTACTTATAAAAAAAGCTCTATAAGCATTTAAAAGTAAAACTTAAAATTGTAAAATTATTATTTTTATGAAAACAGAAAACAAATCCACAAATTTAGTTTGAACAATCAAACTTGCTCAAAATTAATAACCTGATTTATGTAAACTCAATTAAAAAGAGAATTCTAATAGCAACTAAAACAAAATCAAAACTTGAAAAAAATCAAAAACACAATTTTAATTTTGTTTGAATTTACGAACACGAAGCATTTAAAGGCATTGCGTGACTTAAATATTGCATGCCACAGTTACGTAAACTACTAATAATCTCAGGAGAATGATGAAAAGGTTCTTTACTTGAATGTTCAAAATACCTTTGACGCTCCTCTTTTGATATATTAGTTTGCAATTTGCTTCCCGATAAATCGCTTGAAACTCGTTCAGATGCTGACTGACGTTTCTTATACTTCATTCTTCGGTTTTGGAACCAAATTTTAACTTGACGTTCAGATAAGTCCAGAATACTAGCTAGTTCCATGCGTCTTTCTCTGGAAAGAAATCTGTTTACCCAAAACTCTCTTTCAAGTTTATAGAGTTGCTGCTTTGAGTAAGCAGTGCGTTTCCTTCGCTTTCCGCAAGGACTTACTTGTTTTTCTAATAAAAAAAAGTAGTAATTTTAAAATCATTTATTATAAGGGACCATCCATAAAGGACGTCACCATTTTTTAACCAATTTTTGACCCCGTTCCCCCCTTCCTTTGTCACCGGTTGTAATTTTTCCCTTACCCCCCTTGAAAAAAACGTTATAAAATCCTGAACCCCTCTCCCTTATTTTTAACTCCAAAAAAATTTATTTCACTTTGCAAAGATGTTTGAATCTGCTGCTACACCTTTGAAAAATAAAATTAAAAATATTCTCATGCATTATCTTCTTAAAAACACATGTTTACGTAGTTTTCCATGTTAATTAAACTAAAATAAAAAATCTATAAAGTGACGTCCTTTTCTGACAACCTCCCCCTCCCCCTCCCTTTGTCCTCTTTATCTCGACCCCCTTCCCCTTATTTGGATGACGTCATTTATGGATAGCCCCTAAACCTTATTTCTATAAAATGTTCAATAGAATAATACGTGATAAAATAACGCAAAATTAAACAAAGAGCCATACCCCGGAAGTCACATATAGTTACGTTAAACGTTTATAAAACAACTATTTTTTGAAACAAATATTGTAAGAAATGTTAAAAAACTTAATATGGAATAGTAAGAAAACAATTCCAGTTTCAAAGTAGTCTTAAAGAAATGAAAAATTATGCAGCTATCTGCAGTGAAGAGATCTAAGTGTTAATTTGATATTGATAAATAATATTTAAGCATATAAAACATATGACGCGACAATTATTTCATAATAATTACGTTCAAGTTGTAACTTTGTTATACTTATTATTATTCAGGTGCATTTTAAGTTATGCGCATGCAAAACTTATATAAAGTTATTTGTTAGAAGCGCTGATTTTCAAGCAAATCTCAAATTAAAAAAATAAAAAAAAGACTAATATTTTATAGAGTTAAAGTGTTAATTTAGCAAATTTATAAATTAATTGCGCTCTTTAAGTTTTTTTTATTTCTGTCTTGTTTACACATTTTTTAGTTTTACCAGTTTTTTACCGGTACCTGTATTTCAACTTCAAAGTTTTAATAACAGTATATTTAAAAACAAAAACAAATAGATTGTGATAAAATGTTTTCATAGCATGCTAGCAAAATGTGCGTTAAGAAAAAAAAAATTTGCTCACGCTTTAACATGCAAAAAATGCACACAAAAACACCCAAGCCAAATTTAAAAAAAAGTTACTAAGTTACTGAAACTTTCACTGTAATGTTATAAATATTAATGCAAAATAGCCAGCGGCAACCGAGTCGGCCTTTAAAAAGCTTGATATTTACGTAATGTAAAACGGGTATACCGCGGAAATAAATAAATTGTTTCAATGATTGTAATTATTTTCATCCTTACCTCATAAATTTTATGAGGCGAAAATGAAAAAATATAAGGAATGTAACGAGACAAGGTTTTATTTTCCGTGACATTTTAATCTGATCTATTATTTATCGCTAAAAAATCCCTTCTTTAAGTCTGATCTAAAATAGCAATTTAAAAAAAAAAAAAAAAAAAAAAAAATACACTTTTTGAAGTCATACCTTTCTTTGCACTAGGAACGGCATTATGAATGTGTCCAACCTGAACATTTTGTTGTGACACGCAACGATCAGAGTTCCACCAAAACTCAGGAAGCAAAGGCGGTCGAACCCATGGAAAAGAATAGGAAGGTAAGTGAAAAAAGTATGGAGAAATTTGCGAAGGGTAATGATGCTGAAGATTTTGATAATGCGAATTAGATCCAGAAAACAAATCTAAAAAAAATTATACACCATAATAAAATGTGTGAACATGTAGATTGAGGTGAAACATTTAAATGATTTTATAGTTAATTACGTTTTAAATTTAAGCATTTTAAAAATAATACATTTGTATTAATGATATGGAAGTTTAAAAGAGACTAAAATCTATTTAAAAAAATAAAATAAAAATTTAACCTGAGTCACAACCGTATGGTACTAATTCTGATCCATACTGAGTTGAGGCTAAAGTTGAAAAAATGGGCGGAGTGAGTTTATTTAGATCTTGTAAATAGTTGTTACCTTCGTCTTTAGCCTTACTAATCTTTGTCGAGATAGAGTATAAACAATCTTTGTTACTGCTTAATTCACCAAAATCAGATACTTTAATTGCTAGCGGAGAATGCGTTACGATTGTCGACGATTCAGTTCGAACTTCCATACTAAAATATTTAATGAGTAAATGATGTAATTAAGAAATCGTTAAATTTATTTTTTTTATGTGAAATTTTATTTTCTAAATCGTTGTAAGCAGTGATCGTTAAAATCATTTTTCAAACTGTTTAACGAAGCTTTTTAATGACATCGGAAAAAAATGCAAGCGTGACTATTTATTGTAACAAAAAAGCGGGAATTTCTATTGTCTGATTATTGCGCGATTGAAATCTTCAATTCTATAACGATAAATGTAAATAGAATAATATCGACGAACCCTTGAGAGTTTTAAAAGTTGAATGAAAAATCTCTGGGGAGTAAAATACTTGACTAATTCTTTTTTCCACGTGAGTCTTTGTCTGATTGATTTGATTTATGGAGTAAAAACACGAAAGTTAGTTATTGTAAAGAGTTTTTTGTTAAAAATAAAATGAAGTTAATTAAAGCTAATTAAAGTCAACAAGAGTGAGATACTATTAAAATTTTTTGTAGCCGCAAGGTACGACAAGTATATATTCAGCCAAAATTTATGCGACATATCAATCCATTCGGTTTCTTACTGTGCAATTAAATCAAGATATTTTGGTTATGATTCAGCGACGCTTTCAATTTTTTAAACTTTGCACAACATCTAATATCAAGAAAATATCAAGAACAAATATCAAAAAAAAATTTTCCAGATACAACAAAATAACATATCAAAAAAATATCAAGAAAATCAAAACAAAACAAAAAAAATCATATATCAAGTTTAACTAAAAATACTTTGTAAAATACTATTTTCATCAAAACATTTGATTAGTATCCGATCTTCTTTAATATGTTATACAACATATTTATTAGGCATTCATTTAACATAAAAGATTTTAAAATATAAATATTTGTCTTCGATACTCAAGGCCGACAACGTTGGGGACACCTGCCCCCCCTCCCCCTACTACTTTTTTCAAGAGAATATTCTATATATAGAAGACTTTTTTAGAAACAAATGTATGTGCCCCTCCGCTTCGAAACCCGTGTCGCAGCCATGATACATATAATGATTTCATCAGTTCTTAACTCCATTCAAAAGAAAAATCAAAGTTTTTCAAAAGTATTTCGTTCTAAAGATAAGCTCTTCTAAAGTACTACTTGACTTTCCAAAAGTTGTTACTAATTTTTTCTGATATCGCTATTTCTAATTTTTGAATCACTATAAAAGAAATAAACTTGGATTATTAGGAATTTTATTACTTTGATTTTCCTTATTCTTATTTTTATTAAAAAAATTTTAATCATCGTTCAAAATTTTTCTTATTTTTATTAAAAAAATTTTAAACATCGTTTTTAAATTTCGCTGTAGATTTCACTGTAATTGTCGCATTTCAATTTTTAATTTAATACTAATAAATTTCCATCTTTTTTGTTTAAACTTCTAAATAAAATTTTGTAATCAATTTTTTAACACAAAATGATTCTTTATCTGGTTTCATATTTATTTTATTCATATTTAAAACTTTAAACACTAATTTACAAATTTTTATTTTGTGAAAACTGCATACATATAAAAGGGTTTTTTTGCACAACCTTTTATGCTGATTATAAATATGTAACTCAAACTTTTGTACCACGTCATGATTTTTTGCCGCTCGCTATTTAATATTATATTTTATTAATGATTTATTGACTTTTCCTATATAGGAAAAAGTCAATAAATCAGAAACATAAAATACGATTGATAATACGCTTCAATCATGCAGAAAACTATTAGAAGCAGGGTTGGACTGGCTTGAAAAGACGGCCCGGAAAATTTGGTCACGGCGGCCCACCTCATCTTATGTTTCATTTATTTATTGTTATTTTACGTATAAAATTTCTATTTCTTCTTAACCTAAGTATTGATAAAAAACAAAACATAAAAACTAAAACACTGCTGTATGTTGAAAAAGTTACTATACTAGCACTACTGACTAGTATAGTAACTTTTTCATCGTTTGACTAGTCGATACCAAAACATCAATGGTTGCATTGTTATTAATTCTTGTAAGAAGGTCTTTTTCACAAGATATTAGCATAAATGGTTTGAGTGGCTCATCAAATTCCTTAACCTGTTTAAAATATATTTAATTTTGAGAATGACCTTTTACAAGCAACTTGTGACCAGGACAATCTCAACACAAATTTGTATACCTGAAACAAATTTGAAAACGCAAGATTATGCAAATTGAACTTCTAGAGTACAAAGTAACAACAAATAATGCATTTTTTGAAATTTGCATTTATTTCAGTGGCTGTCGCTGTTTTCTACTGCTGGGATTCTAAAGACAGTTTCAAATTCTACGGATTTAGATTATCAGGCGTTGTCCGAGACAGAGTGAGATACTTCCGTATCAAATAGCAAACTATACTCAGCTTCAAGAGGTGCTTTAAAATATTGCAAAGTACAACAATACCGTTTGAAGCTGTTCTATTCTTACACAAGCATCAAAGTTTCTGAGCAACTCACTGAAGTGCTGCAATGCATCATTAGGCATTTTTCGAAAATTTCTTGGATCTAAACAAAATAAACCAGCATATACCATGCTCAGATAATCTGTTTTAAACTACTAATTATTTGAATCATGACAATGTTGAGAACATTAACGCAAAATTTATCTTTTGCACTTTCAAGTAGTTTATTGGCTCTAATTCAAACCAGTCAGAAATTCAAATCTATATTTTTGTATTATTTTCATTCCAGTTGTTTGCAAATATTTAGATAATAGCGTTGTGTTCTCAAATACTTTCAAATAAATTTTTGCCGTCAAAATAAATTCAAAAATTGTCAAGGAATCTAAAAGAACTTTTGCTCTGTAACGGACATTATTATTGAATTTGATTGATGTAGAAATATCATGAAATATTTGTAATATGTCAAAGTACAAATAATCAATAACTTGTGTTTCTTGATTGGAGGTTTTGACAAAGAAATCTCCAAATATCTTAGTAAGAGCTCTATCTTTCGCCCACCAACGGGTTTCACCGATTACAAATATATATTTCAATTTGCTAAATTCATGCCAAACATCGAAGCGTAAGTATGATATAAAAATAATGCACATGTGTTTAAAACACAAAATAAGGTAATAATTTTAACTAATTTTTTAGTAACGTCACTCATTTTTAAATTTAAAACATGCACATAACACTATACATAATCTGACCCGGGGAGACTCTATTTAACCAGGTGTCAAATCCATTGTATTGACAATCCATATTGGAGGCTCCATCGGTTGCATTGCTAATACGTTTACTTATATAAACGCCTACCATTTCAAAAACGCCACAAACCAAATCACACATTCCTTTTCCAGTTGTTGATGAGCAATCGACTATCGATATTACACGTTTATGTACGTTTATGTTTTTGTTGCCAACTAAACCATGCCAGAATTCGTTTTTTCTAACCACCTCCTCGATATGTGCTTTCAACAACAGATTACATTTGCCAACAAGCAAAAAAGTATTTAAAAAAACTCTAATGATTTACACCGTCATCAAGCAATGTGAACCCAGACTCTTCTGCACCTCTGTAGGTAAATCCACGCTTACCAAAAATTTTCAAAGTTTCTATAATTTATTTTAAAATTAAACAATTCCCTTTAACCTCTTCATCATGTCAACGCATATAAATGCTTTCAAACATCTTTGGCATAATTTTTTAAAACATATGATTCTGTGCAGGCTGCATGGAGAGCACTGCTTTTATGTTCTGATAACCTTAATAAATATGAATTTTAAAGTTATACCCACAAAAGAACCTTAATTGATCTGAGGCTTTGATAAATGACAGATAAAATGAACAAAACAGTTTTTGTGTCTTTGCCAGTGGCCTATTGTTTCTGAAATAAAACTTGTGTTAATTAATTTTAACGTTTTAATAAAAATTTTTTGTTTTTGTTTTTTGTCTTTCTTTGTATGAAATTTAAAAAATGATTTCAAAAAACCTGATAGGAGTTTCACAAAATAATTATAGTTGTTTTGAGTTTCTTCACTTGACTCGGATTGATTACAGTTCAATTTTAACCGAATGTCAGAATTTGGATAAGAGATTACAATTTTCTTTTAGTTTTATTTTAGTTTACCGTTTATTATAATAATCAATGGCAAATAAAATTTGACCTAACTAAAAATATGATATTTTTATGGCAACCGGCCTACCGAAATCTCCCGGTATCTCGGCGGCTCATTCCAAGCCTGATTAGAAGTTACAAAATTATTAACCAAAGCACAATACAAAACTAGGCTTACTTTTTTTAATTATTTATGATTCTGTGAGTTGTCTAACCAGTAATTTTCGTTTATGAGCAGCACCAGGGTTATGACATTTTAATGACCAGCAATAGTAAGCCATTATACTCACATTCCATTGACCTTGGTTCCGACTGCCCATTGCACAAACGTCCTGATGGAACCTATCATCATGCTCACTGTATTACTGCTACACTGTATTACTATATACATCACTATATGCACAAAGATTTACAGAAAATTATTCAACGTGGGAGTTCAAAAAATGCAACCTGACACTCATGCGGCAACCCAAAACCCTTAATTTGGCTACCATATTCTTAACAAGACTTTTGTAATTGTTTAGCTTGAAGTTACTTATGAAATTGTTAACAAGTTGTGGCTTTTTAAAAGCGTTCCAGGCTTTTAGTTCGACTGTGGCAAATATAGATGTAAACTTCTCATTTTTCATTATTTCTTAGATCTGCAATCCAACCAAGATACTTTCAGTCAACTTTGCTTCACTTATATGTTGAAATTTATCTGACAATTATCGAAATCCAGAGCCAGTGTGATCATACGCTTATCAAAATTTTTCATCAACCTCAACTTTATATGGAGTGATGGAAGGAGAATTCGATGTTTTTTTACCAAAGGCTGTAACTTGACTCTGTAACTTCCTGAGGTGAATTAATAGTTTTATGTTTTTATACGTCTTTTTTAGTGCTATCACTTGTGGCACTGAAAGTGATGATACTGTGTTTTCATTATATAGAAGAACTGTTTTCATACTGTGCTTTGATAAATCAATAAATATTACTTATTATTGGCATCGTAAGCAATTCCCATAAATGTGACAAGACAT